TAACCTCACGGCTGCTGGCGGGGGGGGGCTCGTATATCAGTTGGTTAGATCATTGACTGTACTAAGTGCTTCCCCTTGCTGGAGAGGATTTAAATGCTACCGAGTTTTTCAAATGACTTATTGAAATCTATCAAAACGCTCTATTACTTGAAGGAGGAACAGCTTTCAATATTAAACGGCCCTCTAATTACGAGATCTGCGAGACCGTGAAAAGGCCATCGATAAAACATCGTAGCTTTTCTTTTATTAACGTTACGTGTAAAGTACACAACAGAGTCTATAGCCACTGAAAAATATATTATTCGAGCAGGTACAAATATATTATTTTCTTTGCAAGGAAAATATATTGCATGTAGTTTGAAAACCCGAATAGCAGGTTGGGTTCAAAATTACTCGGTAATTGAAAGATACTCCTTTTTCAAGTACAAAATCTGAAGATATGATCTGCTACTAAATCGGCACAAGGAAACCATTTCTGTGCCCGGTTGCTATAAAACATGATTTATAACGTTGTACAGGAGTCAATAGTTGCAATACATACCATTTGCGTAGTCATATTTTACTAAATGCACTTTTAGCATGCGGCCAAATAGAAGTCCGTTCAGAAGTCAGCATTCGGACAGGACTGACATATCTGCGGATTATTATTTAAGACAACTAATACTACAATTTTACCTCAGTTATCTTTTCTAGTTAAAAATGTATTTCATCAGTGCAGCTGACGTTTTACGAGATAGAACGAGTTAACGCTTTAACCATGATTCTTATCTTGATCCTGATTCTATCCTTAACCCTAACCCTGATCCTATTTTCTCTGGAATTTATTATGAAGCAACCTGTATTTCAGAGCTTCCGTAGTCTCCTATCCTGTCGGGAAGAGGGGAGGGGAGTCACATAAACTCGCCCTAAACTCGGTCAGTAAGTAAATGCTACTAGCAATACTAGACTTACCAGAAAGCCCACCTTAGCCTTTTTAGACAGCATTGGTAGGCGCTATCTCTATCCCAGGTTCTGGTACCCCCGCGGTCTGAACTCGAGTCGCTTGTCTGCGAAAAGTAATGCGGCCGCTTGTGTGGATTGCAAGGCAACGCGGGAATATCCAGCTGCGTCTCACAATTCAGACGGTTCGCTATCCATCATTCCTATGCGATCGAGCATTCTGGATTTCTAGTCAGGATGAGCCCTAGCGCAGATCTACGAGACTCATCCAATGATCCACTGGAGGGGATGCCTACGACCTGTGTTTTCATTTGTCATCTTTTAAAAATTAAATGTTCTACTTTTTTCCCAGAGCAAATATATATAAATGCTAATTCCTCCTCTGTTAAAATATATTCTAGAGTTTCTGAAGTTTCCTAATAGACAGCCCAAGTACCCATCTGAAAAGTTGCATTATTTAGCCACATTCCAGATCGTGATGCAACCCTATCTACTTTCGTGTCAGAGTTGTACAGGCTTCAGGAAGTCTGGCCAACCAGCAAATCGCATGCTACCATGTTCTACCTACTATATTATTATGTTTCGTGCTAATCAGTACCGCAACCGAAACTGAGCAATATTTCCTACCAGGAAGTTTAACCACAAGGGTCGTGGGAGAATGGCATGGCCATTTCACTTTTAGTAACCGCTGTTAACCACAGATACCTTGACCTCAGGTGAGAGAGGGTTTGGATCCATCTTAAATGATTATTCAGAATTTTTATGTCACTTGCTCTCCAGGCTGAACTACTAACCCATACTCTGTCAATTGAAACTATAGCTATTCAAGGTCATATGGAAGTGGAATTCAAATCCACCATTTCCGGCGTTACACTGCATTTGCGTTTTTAGTGCCCATGTATTCGATAGAACAACGACTAAAACCAGTAGACTCAAAAAGGACAAACAGTATGTACAGGGTTTTCAGTTCATGTTTTTTTCTGACGTTTTGGATCCTCCAGATGGAGGACAAAAGGAAACATGTGTATATCTTCACTGGCTCAGCGAATAGTCATAAAACGCACACCCACTTTTCATGACTTTTCAGAGACCGATCAGTTGGAACATTCCTATTTATCTCATTTCCTGTAATAATCTACAGTTAAGACTTGATATACGCAAATGCATTTATAGGCCCTCCCCTTCTCTTCTGCAGGACAAGGAACTGGGAATTTCCGTAATGCAGATGGCTTTGCACTTAAGTCCAGGGGAAACAGAGGTGAGCGTAAAGTCTAAGGGCCAATAATTGCGTTGGTTTCGGGGTTAGGCCAGAAAAATGCAGTAAATCTCCTATTTCATGAAATGTCAACCGAAATTTTAAAGTGTGTTTTACATTCAACAAATTACTTAAGTAGATTTTTGATATTAGGTATCGTTCAGCCTAATCCCGAGAACTTTGAAGGAAGTTCTTCCTTACCGCTTTCAAAATGCATGTTCCGTAAATAAGGGCTACTTAAGTACTATGGATTTCCGTACAAATTCAAGAAAACTTTATGGAACACATGCACAAATACTCTTCCATTGGTAACCAGTTACGTCTTTTTCAAATTTTCGTAACTGAAGAAAGAGCGCGTTTCGGTTGTAAGAAATTTTGAAATGGCTTATAATTTTGGGGCCGTTACATTTGAATTCAGGGTTTGCAAATTATATGCTATATGCATTATTTTTAAGAAAAGTTGCATATTTCCCTACGGTAAGAGAAAAAGGCCACAGTTCTCATGAATTTTTACAATAGATATGAACTCTGTTATGTACTTTCTAGGTGCCATTAATAAATTGATGGATACCATGTATTATGAATCAAGATTTCACGGTCGTAAAAATCTCATAATTATAAACTTTTTTTAAAACCGAAAGATAACCTTCTTTTGCTTATACACTTCGAAGAAGTCACGATTTGCTAGCAAACGGGTAAAAGAAAGAATATTATGCACACGGTTCTCATGAAATATATTCAAATTCATAAGTGTATAGAAAATAAATGACAAAATGCAGACTCCGTAAGTCGCCATTTTTTCTGCAAGCGGGCAGAAGGAAACTCATTAAAAGGCCGACATCCTGACATGACTGAAATGTCTTGAGATTAGGCTTTTAGATAATAAATTAGGATTTCTTTCGACTCGGAAACATATTTCAGCATTTCTTTTTTTCATTTTGCGCAGGATTACCTGGATTACTACAGGCTTTCCTTTAATTGTTCGCTGTCAGAGTAGGCACATAAACTACTTTTACCTACATTATGCTTAGACTCATGATAAGAATTACCAGTTTAATCCCTAAATAGCTTAGAAGCAACTCAACCATCTAGTCAAAATGCATTTATAAATGAAGCAGGCTTTTGTGTAATACAGTATGGCGAGTGCTGCCAGCAACATTCCGCAATTTGAAAAAGACCAGAAATCACTGGTTGATTCTGTAAAAAAATGGCTTCTTAAATAGTATGCATTTTATCGTTGATTTTGACTGCCTTTATAGATTCAAGTATATTTTATGCAAAGCATGCACGAAAACATCCTTTCTTGTGCTTATTTGATAGCAAATTACGCCTTCTTTAAATTCTATTCTTAAAGGAAGTGTTTTCTTTGGTTTTAAAAAAAAGTTTCCTAATTGCCGAATTATGTTGAAACCTACCGACTACTACAACTGAACTTAAGTTTTACAAACTGAATGCTGTGTTCATACTGTTTAAGGAACAGTACGTTGTTGCCTACGGTTTGAGGAAGTGGATGCATAGCTCTCATATAATTTTGCAATAGACATGGATCATGCTGTATTTATCAGGCGCAGCATTAATAAATTAACAGATACGATGTATTATGAGTGAAAATCGCACAGTCGTTAAAAAACTCAAAATTATATTTTTTAAACCGAAGGAAGCCCTTCCTTTAAGAATAGAATCTATAGAAGGCGTAATTTGCTATCAAATAAGCACAAGAAAGGATGGTGCATGCTTTCCATAAAATATATTTGAATTTATAAAGGCAGTCAAAATCAACGATAAAATGCATACTATGTAAATAGCCATTTTTTACAGAATAAACGTTTTTGCAGAGGTCAGAAAGAAGCTCATCACAGGGTCGGCATCCTAGCGTGACTGAAAATAATTGAAATTGGACTGCATGATAAACAGCATTGCAACTCTACTCGATGTTAATTTGCAGTGATTACTGGTCTTTTTCAAATTGCGGAATGTTGCTTTCAGCCCTCGCCATACTGTAGATAAGGTCGAGGACCTACTGCCTATTGCATGAAAATAAGCGATATTAAACTGATAATGAAGAAAACATATTGATCGTAGTGCAGGAACCGGAGAAAAAAATCATTCGCAAACACAGTAGTCGCCTTTGTTCGAATGGAATAAGCAGCATTTTAAGATCTTTCATTCGGCTAGAGCACCTGTCCATTTTGACCGCGACACTGATTCCTAGTATTATCAGTACGGCACAAAAGCTTCACCTGACGTCATATCAGAGATAACTTCTGCACTCTGACAGAGCTTTCGCTGAGTGAATAAAATCACGCCTGTTATCTTTCAGATAGACGACTTACCACCCAGAGTCGACCTCAAAGTCATAGCAGAGAGTGGATTTGAGTGCATTGGTACCATCGAAACCACCCACCAAGTAGACACGATTGCCTACTAGTACGCAACCGGCATAAACACGTCGGGGGATTTCACCAATCAGGCAGTTGGTCTCTGTGGCGTTAATCAGTCTCTGTGGGCAGGTGTAGAGGCCGGCAGGCAAGGTGGGCGTGAGTTTCGCCTCTGGTTGGGGAACCTCTACGGGGTTCTTTCCGGTGTTAGTTTCGGTGCCCGCATTGGCCGGAGTAACGTCCATTTTGTTGTTGCTATCCGGTAGGGACAACTGGTCCAACCACTCGTATACGGGGCTCTGAGTTTGGCAACCCCTCTCCGTCCACAGGGTCCAGGTGTTGGCACGTGGGTTGAAGATTTGTGCAGCTGCACGGGGCCCCTCGCCATCACACCAACCACCGAAAACGCAGAGAACCTATGAAGCAAAAAACCCTTCATATTGTGAATAACCCGGTAGCCTTAGACAAATTCTCAAATAAGACTTTGGAAGAAAATGAATTAAGTAGTCGTGTAAACTGTGAAACAGAAATCTAAGCTTCACTCATTTCCTGCATCAGCCAGCAGCAAAAAGTAGTAGTTCGTTTAAAAAAAGTAAATTTCTGCCTTCCAGTCAAAAAGGAGGGGAATATTATTCAGTTCACTCTTGAGCACAAATAAAGTGTCATGGTGCTGTGTTCTAAACGGAAGGTAATCAGTTCTCCCCAGTGAGTAAATCAGTATCAATATATTTCAGGGATATGTAGGTGGGTTGCCTTTGAGTTTCCTATTTGTACATGTGTGTCGTGGTAGCAGAAAAATAGTATCTCAGTTTTTTGGCGAGGCCAAGTGACCTGACCCATGAGGTGGAACATCGTTTTAAACAAGAGCAGACTGAAAAAAAACTCAATGGGA